AATAGCTCATGTATTGCTCTGTTTCCAAGCAGCTCAATGAAATTGAAATACACGAGTCCAGAGCAGCAGCTATTTGAATCATTAAGGAAAGGGATATAATTTTGCAAAATCTCAGTTAACAATTTTCTATTATATTCCATATAATCTGGAAATATTAACTAGATTTCTCTAGTCCGTGAATTTATTGTGTAATTTTATCACAGATTGTCTGATCTTCAGAAAAAACGGACTTATCTAGCTACTTAGATAAATCAACCAAGAGACCATTTAATTCATAAGTGACTTCTTGTTTGATGATTTTTCTCAAAACTGATAGTTTGATCAATTATTTTCCACTGCTCATACACTGATTAAAGATGATATAGTTAGCTTTGTCCTTCTTGAGAAAAGTTTCCGGGTTCAATGTTTGAAGAAGGATTCATTCATCCCTGTCAGTAGGGTCGTCACGTGGCGTATAACATAATAGTTCTTTCTTTGCTGATTATTTTAGTGCTTGCTGGTAACTCAAAGTTCACATACACAGCATAATACAAATGCGGTCAAATGTATATTTCACACAACACTACTGCCTGCCAAGAGTCTAGCAAAAGAATGCAGAATTGATACAGCTGGTAGACAAGAGGAAGGATGGATACAACAGCAGTTCTGAGATTTTGGGCTTGGAGAATGATACATTAGCAGTGCTGGGAAGGCACGAGCCCGCCTGGTCAATGCTGGGTCTCTGCTTCATGACGCAGCAACCCGACCCGGATGGAACCCGAGCGGTGCAGTCGCCTTACACCGACAAACCAAATCTGTCGCCATCCGCACACACGCAAAGAACTGAATTTATCTATCTACTATGTGATCCGAACCGAACCCGAACAGTTTAGTTGTTGTGGAGCCAAAGGCAAAGGATAGCGACCCATGTGGTTAATGCTAATTCCCCTGCTTAATGATGCACCAACCCGAACCGAACCGAACCCGAATGGAGCTATAAAAAAATGATAAAACATACTTACCGATGGCCGCTACTTTTGCTGAAGCATCTTTCCTCCCAAATCCATCGCAGCACCGGACAACCTGAACGTTGGCACTTGCAGTTAATCCGAACCTGATCCGAACGCCTGGCCTTCCCATGTGGCTCTGGACCACCACAAAGCCCTGCAATGTGCTTTTCCTTCTCCTACTGAAGAAGGTTGTATTTCTGTTCCATGTAAAATAAGAGACTGTTATTTTTGGAGTGTATCTTTACAGCAGCAGTGTTGGTTGGAACAACACGTACCGCTGTAAATGCAAGAAATTTTAAAGAGTTTGTAGAGGAGCTCCACTATAATTTTACAGCAGTGATGTCAACGACAAAGAACATCAACCAATTTCACTGAGACAATTAATAGTCTTTTTGTTGTTTAAATGGTTAATGCTTGTTGAATTTTATTGCCGTGCTCTTTTCATTGTTTTATGCTAAGATTCTGACTTCTGAAAATGAATTATTTTGTGTTTTTACAAAATAAAGTACTCCCTCTGATCCATATTAACTGTCGCAGGTTTAGTACAAAATTGTACTAAAAGTACTAAAGCTGCGACAATTAATTTGTATCGGAGGGAGCAGTTCATGTTCTAGTATGAGCAACACACCTTTGAACTCCTCGGAACGTGCCATTGCCATTGTTCACACCCAGGTCAGATCACAAAAGAAAACTACAACAATCAAAGACGGAACAACAAATATCATCCTGAATATATGACAGATGGAGATGAGAGTTCTGTGTACCGGTGAATCGATCCTGATTTATTTTCTTTTCTTTTGCAAACCATTGTGTATCCTGTTTTTTTTTTCTCAACCACTGACCATCCTGATTTCTGAAGAAGCAAATGTGAATTCCATCTGTCCGGGCCTATGGATCTGGTCCGCCTACCATTTGTGCATGGCGTCGCCGCAAGAGAGTTTTTGGACTGGCTTCTTCTGGTCAACTTGTGAACGATCAGCAGAACACATCTATGGGAATGGAAAATAATCATCTTTCTGAGCTCACAACATCATATAAATAAATAAGAAACAATGAAACAGGCAGGTTTACCATCCAATGCTTTGGTTGATATGGCAGAGAGATAGTAGTAACTTGTACATGGAAGCATGACTCCTGGTTTTGCTTTCTGAAATCCAAACAGGTCGAGACTAAAATTAAGATTAAGAGACACCGTAATCACCAACTTGACAGCATGATGATATGATTTTGAAGGGAACTCAAATCTGTGCATAGTCTAGAGCCAAGTGTTATATATCATAACAGAAGGAATATACATTTAGCTTCTCTTTTCTTTTCTTGAAACACAGTTGGCCTGAGCGTACCATACAATGATACAACTGCTTACAATTCCAACCCGATAAATGGCAGAAGAATACCTTACAAAGCAACCTGATAAATTGAGCTGCTAAAACAACAAATATTATGGTACAGAGGGAGTATCTTCTAATCCATGATTCCAACAAAAGGAAGAACCAATAGCATCCGGCACTACTAAAGCCTGAGAGGTATCGGGGACGTATCCGGGAAGAATCAGTATCGGATATGGTATCCGATACAGATACGCTAGTTGCTGGAAGTATCGGTTTCTTCTTGGTCATAGTCCTCATAAATTATGACATTTAGCTTGCTTGTTGCTAGCAATCTGCATTGTTTTGCCAACACAACGCTGCAATAGTCGATTTCCAGTTCCACCAGCGAAGGTGGGAGTTCCTCCTTCAGAAGCCTTAATATGCTGCTACAGCTTCTGATCTTCAATATCTTGAGGGCAGGAAGGCTGTGCAGTCCTGCAGGAAGATGCACAAGGTACTCACAATCGCCAAACACTAGCTCTTGCAGCGACTTGTGGAGCAGAAGCGCGCTCTCTTGATCATCTGTTAGTCTCCTGGCCTTGCACTTCAAATTTTGAATTATTAGGCTCTGGAGACAGGTGAGCCCCTTGCATATTGATGTGGTAAGGAGGGACAAGTCACTAATTATAAATAGATCCAGTTGAGATCCTAGGTGATAGCCCTTCCCTGATATACCACGAAAAATTTATTTTTTGCATACATTCAAATGCCTGAGTTTCACGAGGTGAAGGCCCTCTATTGCGATGATCCCTCCACAGTCTTCAATTCTCAAATCTTCCAGAGACGTGCAGGAATGCAGCTGTAGAGAATCCAATGGCTTAAGCTTAGTTTCCGAGTTGTGAGCTTTCTCGAACAGATCAAACACCCTGAGTGCGCTGCACTTCCGGATCTCCAGTACCCTTAAACTAGACACCAGACCCCCCAAGGAAGTGCAGGAACATCTCTCCAACCCGGACATGTTAACTAAAACTAGCTCCTCCACTGACGGAATCAGTACTTCCCTTACTCCCCACATGTTGGTTAACTTCAATGTTGTAAGGAATGGAAGGTTTTCCAGAGATAGAACTGCTTGCTTTTCTCTGCAATTCTCTACGCTCACATTCTGCAAGGCAAGCAAAGTAGCATTATCCCGAACAGCAGAATTATCATACAAGTGAACTTGAGGCGAGCAGCTCCCCTGCTCACCATGACCATCGAGTTTTAGATATCTAAGATGTATAAGATTCACCAAACTATACCGGAATGAATGGAAATCAGCAGATGTTGCAAAAATTTGCAATACACGCAAATTATATGCCTTTCGGAATACTTCTTCAAAGAAAGAAGATTCATACTGCCCAATCAAAACCAATGTCCTCAATTTTGCCACTGATATAAATATGCTCTGTATGTTTTCTTCAAAGTTCTCACTACCAAGTATATTCCCAGTCTGACCATCCTTTACTATAGATAAATGATGTATAGTTGGTAGCATGTCATTGTACTGCAGACCATCCATAGCTGCACACTCAGTTTTTGAAACTACCCTAGCCAAATCATGCATAAGAATAGACATAGCAAAGTAAGTTTGAGTATGGCCAGAAGGGAGTTCTTTTCTTTCAACTTGCTCAAAGAAACCGAGGTTCACCAAGTCACACAGATAGCGCCGTCCTTCTTCCTGTATCATACTTGAATGGTTACACTTCACAAATCCCTGTGAAATCCACATACGTACCAGCTCCTCAACAAGAAAATGATGACTGTAGGGGAATATGGAGCAATAAGAGAAGCATTGCTGTAAATTGTAGGGCAGCTGATCATAGCAAAGCTTCAAAGCAGACATGATGCCACTACTGAGTTGCAGGGATTTCCAATCTTGGTTCTTCAGAATATTATTCCAGTCATCAATGGTAAGATGCTCTCTTAACAGTGTCCCTGCAGTTTCTGCAGCTAATGGGTTTCCCTGTAATCTTTTTGCTATCTGCCGTCCAAGCTCGCCCAAACTAACTTGCTCTTCATAGTTCTTGTCACCAAATGCACACGCTTTGAACATTAGCCAGAAATCACCATTTTTCAAGCCATCTAAGTTAATCGGTCCAGTTGTACCTCTATTTTTGGCAACACATGGTTTTCTAGTTGTCACAAGTATCATGCTGCCCTTTGCGTTGTTAGTCTTAAAAGGTGCTAATAGATTGTTCCATTGGCAATCAGTTATGTCATCCCAAATATCATCCAAAATAAGCAGAACTCTCTTTGATTTAACATGATCCTTCAAAACTTCCTGAAGCTTGTATTGCCTTTCATGTCTTCCATGGGATACAAAATCTAACATCTCTCTTGTGACTCTGGTTTCATCGAAGCTGCTAGAGACCCAGATCCATATCCGGAGGTCAAATTGACTTTTCAAATCTGGATCATTGTATACTAGTTGAGCCAGAGTCGTCTTCCCAACTCCTGCAATGCCTTCAATTGGCAGAACAGTTACCCCAGCATCTGATCTGCGTTCTTTTATCAACTCTATGATGTAACTCTTCTCTTGAGCTCTCCCATACACTTTTCCTTGAATAAGACTTGATGTCCTTCGGTGTGTGTCTGAGGTGGTTGTACCCCGGCAGCGATTTCGACCTGCATGAGACCTTGGCCCAAGCATCTTGATAACCCGTCACACGTTCCCTCGGATATCTCGCAACTGACCAGTTATGTCCTGTATCATTTTCGAAATTTGTTCCTTGTTCCAAGGGCCTGTGTTGGCTGTGGGGACATGTGTTGAACCCTCGCCCCTTCTCCTTTTTCTTCTGGATGAACTATCAGCAGTTACATTTCTGGTGCTGCATTAAAAAATATGGAGTGGGTTGGCTGTTAGAATCACACTGGACTGTTTACTCGGATGTATAATTAAAAACAGAGTCTTGTAAATGTGCAAGGTCTTAAAAACAGAGTCGCATTGGCTATTTATAGTCTTGTAAAGCATTTAGTTACTGGTAGGACTAGGGTTCCTACCGACTCGACTCCTTAGGTTGTAGGGCCAGGACAGCAAGGGTTGGGGGCGAGGGCGGCGGCTCCGGCGCGAGGGAGGAGAAGGGCGGCGGCGGCTAGGGCAGGGTGCGGCTATGGTTTCCGGCTCAGGAGCCGGGCAATATGATAGAAATATCTTTATTGCTTAATCTCGAAAAGGTGTCTTACAACTAATATTTATAACCTGAAAACGAAATAGCCTAAGATAACTTGTGGGCTAAGCCCCTAACAACTGCCCCGTGGGCCTCCTCCGGTTATACGTTAAACCAGTCATAACAGTTACCTTGAAGAAGTTGGCAGATGGTTACTTGGTCCATCAATTTGGTTGGGATGGTGCCAATGCCATGGGCCTGCAGCAGAAGAAATCATGGACACGAAATTTAGTATGGTGGTGATCGACAAAAAAAATTGGAAGTGGAGTAGTAATTAACACAAACAGGTGGCGTGCCTCCGTGGAGCTGGTGCTGAAGCCTGTAGCAGTGGAGCTCGTCGACCGCGTCATCGGCGGTGTAGAGCAGCTCCTTGACGGCTGCAAGGGATCTGGCCAGCGACCTGTTTTGGATCGCCCTGGCGTTGACGGCAGAGACGACCCCGTCGACTTGCTGGATCTCGTCCCTGGGCCCCTCTACCTCGCTGCCGAGCCCTACTTGGCGAATCCACCCGTCCAGCTTGCTGATGCTCGGAAGGATGGTGTGCAGCAGCCATCGAATCGCGGCCTGCAGCTGCAGGGAAGTGGTGTCTTGTACCGCCTCCATTCCGTCGGCAGATCCCGGTGGAGGCGGACGGCGAGGGGAGAAGGAGGAGGCGGAAGGGGGGAAGCACTCTAGGGACCGAGTTTGATTTGGCAGCAAACAGAGTACTCCAGTCCGAGGGGTTCAGAACTTCAGACCGGCGAGCGAGCCAGCGAGGGGTTCAGAGGAGGAAGAAGGTTTCACACTGAATATTTATTTCCACACAATACTAGAGGCAATAATAAAGTTATTATTTATTTCCTCATATCATGATAAATGTTTATTATTCATGCTAGAATTGTATTAACCGGAAACATGATACATGTGTGAATACATAGACAAATATAGTGTCACTAGTATGCCTCTACTTGAACTAGCTCATTGATCAAAGATGGTTATGTTTTCTAACCATATGCATGTGTTGTCATTTGATTAATGAGATCACATCATTAGGAGAATGATGTGATTGACTTGACCCATTCTGTTAGCTTAGCACTTGATCGTTTAGTATGTTGCTATTACTTTCTTCATGACTTATACAAAGTTCCTGCAACTATGAGATTGTGCAACTCCCGTTTACCGGAGGAACACTTTGTGTGCTACCAAACATCACAACGTAATTGGGTGATTATAAAGGTGCTCTACAGGTGTCTCCAAAGGTACATGTTGAGTTGGCATAATTCGAGATTAGGTTTTGTCACTCCGATTGTCGGAGAGGTATCTTTGGGCCCTCTCAGTAATACTCATCACCTAAGCCTTGCAAGCATTGTAACTAATGAGTTAGTTATAAAATGATGTATTACGGAATGAGTAAAGAGACTTACTGGTAACGAGATTGAACTAGGTATTGGATACCGACGATCGAATCTCGGGCAAGTAACATACCGATGACGAAGGGAACAACGTATGTTGTTATGCGGTTTGACCAATAAAGATCTTCGTAGAATATGTAGGAACCAATATGAACATCCAGGTTCCGCTATTGGTTATTGACCGAGAATAGTTCTAGGTCATGTCTACATAGTTCTCGAACCCGTAGGGTCCGCACGCTTAACATTACGATGACAGTTTTATTATGAGTTTATAAGTTTTGATGTACCGAAGGTTGTTCGGAGTACCGGATGTGATCACGGACATGACGAGGAGTCTCCAAATGGTCGAGACATAAAGATTGATATATTGGACGGATATATTTGGACACCGGAAAGGTTCCGGATGAGATTGGGACTATACCGGAGTTCTGGGAGGTTACCGGAACCCCCCGGTAAGTATATGGGCCTTATTGGGCCTTAGTGGAAGGGAGGGAG